CAGAATGTTTTAGAGTAAAACGCAAGGATAACTATTCCAGTATATATTTTCATAATTTAACAGGTTTATGTGAATCTAGCCTATCTTGCAGTATATATTTTCATAATTAAACAGGTTTATGTGAATCTAGCCTATCTTGCAATATATATTTTCATAACTTAACAGGTTTATGTGAATCAAGCCTATCTTGCAGTATATATTTTCATAACTTAACAGGTTTATGTGAATGAAGCCTATCTTGCAGTATATATTTTCATAAAAATACAGGTTTATGTGAATCAATGATATGAAATTTGTTGTTTTTATTTCACACCGTAGGTCTAAAGAATTTAAATAGTGACATCAGATAATTTATTGAACAAAAAGACACCTTTAAACCTCTGATTTTTAATCTCATCTATGGAAATGTCCTATCTATGAAATGACATTTCAATGAAATGTTATATCAATGAAATGTCATTTCTATAAAATGTCCTAATAATGAAATGGCTTTATCTATGAAGTATTAGGAAGTCTAAAATAAATTTTGAACTGTACTAAATCTATTTATATCTGTGAACTTGGTTCACAATAAGATAAAGCCTAGAGAGATGGGCGTGTTCAGTTTTTTTATGATTCGTTCCTATAGTTCATTATGCGTTAACAACCCATTTCATTAATTTTTTTCTGTCGTTTGCAAAAATTTGAATTCTTTTGTTTTCAAAATTATCGTTAATTTCCCGTATATTTCGTTCGTTTTCTAACTGAACAATCGTTCAATTAAATTGTTTGTTCAGTAAAAAAATTTTTTTTTTTCAAAAGTTTGTCTGTTCAGTGAAAACAATCTTTTTTTAAAAAATTTGTTTTAAAAAAGTTCGTTTAGTACAAAAACGATTGTTTTTCAACTTTGATTAAAAAGTATCGCTTGTTCAATAAAAATTAGCTTAAAAAATTAGTTTATTCAATCATTTAAAAACTTACCCATATAATGCAACGTTTTTTTGTTCGTTAAAAAAATAATAGTTTAATTAATTATATTTGTTACAAACAATTTGAAGAATGCTTAACAGACTTATAGCTTTTTCTGCCTTGAGTAGAAATGTTGTAGAATGTAATATATATTTGCAAACATTATAGAGAATATAATTTAGAAGGACCAACTAAAATAAAGCAGAGTTAAATCCGGATAAAAGTCGATTATTTTTAAACCAGAACCAGGTTACAGAGTGTTTAAAGATTTTTTAAGAAGGTTTTACAGAGAGTTTTAAGACTTTTTAAAAAGGTTTTACAGAGTGTTTTAAGACTTTTCAGACGGTTTTACAGAGTGTGACTTCATACAAGAGGTTTTAGACGGTTTAAAATCTTCTTTTTAAGTTTTAAAGTAGAGATAAATTCGTTTTCTAACCCTAGGTTTTACCCGAGTATTTTGAAACAGATTTAAACCAAGTGTAATAACACCAATGCCAGTTTTCTAAATGGTTTAAAATGGTGTTATTTACTCGTTTTATATAACACCAGTTAAAAACGTTCTACGAATTAAAACACCCAGGGTTTAGACGTGTAATATCAGTTTTACATGTAAAATCACACAGAAATAACCAGTTAAAATTAAACTGAGTTATTTCCGGTTATTAACGATTCTTTGGGTTTGTTTTAACTAACACCTTTTTAACGTTTTTTGCATGCGTAAAATTATAATAAGTTCTAGTCTGTTTTTTCCTTGCTTTAAAAACTCCATTTTTCTAACACCATTTAAAACATTTAAAGGATGGGTTTAAATTCATTTTTATTCATTTATAATTCAAGATTTAATGTCAAGATAGAATGGAATAGATTACTCTCCTCAAACTCCAATATTCCAATACTAATATATTTGCAACCTGTTATTGTAAGCCTTTAATATTTTAAAGAATTATATTAGATTACCTTACATTAAAGTTTGAATTATCAAAGGTTAACTCATTCAAGTTGCAAAGATATAGGAATATGATTAGAGGTTGAGAAGAGTAATCAATTCCTTTGTTTAAAATCATTATTTAAATCATTATGGATAAAGGTGTGTAAAACCCCATTGATTTCTATATAAAACAATTCTTCTACACTTAATTTACACTCCTCTTCATAAACATATAATTAAAACAAAATTTTCCGGACGAGTAATAAAATTAAATACACTAGCACATTGCTAAATAGATCATATTTCATTAACATTTTTCTACATTTTTTCATACCTTGATACAAAAATGAAACACTTAATTGCAGATAATTTACATTGACTATCTATTTATAGAATGTTATGCACAACGGTACCCTTCAAAGCTTAATGAATTAGATATCAATGTTAATAAGTTTGAAAACTGATTATTTTTAATTGTGATTTTTCTATACAAATATGATTTGCACTTGTAGTGTCTACTGCAGAAAAACGTATGAATAATATCACAATTAAACACTGTTAAAAACCCAGAAAAACGACTAAATCGTTTCTATGAGTGATCACATAAAAGGTCCTGTTTTAAATTGTACATTGCCATCTTTGTGTAGATTGTCACTTGAAATTACTCACCTATTAATTGTTCACTGGAAGTTGGTCAACTTAAAATAAGAATAAAAATTGTTTGAAAAATTTTGGCAGAGTTTCAACTTATCAAAATAAACTTCAGTTATACTTCATGATTTTAACATTTAAAGTGAAAATTAAATTAAATTAAGAAATTAAAATATAAACAAAAAGAGATCTATAACGAGCCAGTGAAGTTTGGATTGAAGCATCCATGCGGGACATAATCATTTAGAATACGTGGCAGGGAGTGCTGTAAAATTTTAAGAAAAAAATCTACATTTCAACTAGAACATTAAGATTTGCTACAGGGGGAATTCTCTAGCACGTCTCACATATTAGCGAATAAAAATAAATCCACCATAATGTAGCATTTTAGGTAGATTCATAAATAAAATGCAATGTTAAAAAGATATTAAATTGAAAAGTTTGTTAAATTGTTCACATTGTTAAGCAAATTCCACATAGTTGCACTCAATTTACAATTTTCTTTCTTCATTCATGGGAGTTTTTAAAACTATAATTTTAGTTCTTTTAAACCACATCTCTTGCAATCATGATTCTCCAGAAGTATAATATGAATTGTAGCAAGAGTTACTAAGACTTAATAAGAAAATCTTATAAACTTTTTCATCATCCTCTATAGTCACTTTTAGTAATGTATCATGAATCGACATGATGCAAATATTATCAATTTAATGAATTTGAGCCGCGTCTTAAATCCCCCAAAACCGGTTTCAATTGAGCGCCGGCTTAAATCTTAAAATATTGAATATACTATTTTAAGTAGAACCAATCATATTTGAGCCGCGGCTTAAATTTAAGCCGCGGCATAAATTATTTAAATTCTGCCTCCGGTCGATAAGGGCGTGCTTGTAACCATGAATATCGAGATTAAGGGGAAGATTATCGCTGCAGATGACTCTAGCTTGCTTGCATTCTGGTTTCCTGAAGAAAATGTAAAAAAAAACTTTTAATTACAGAAAAATAATAATTATTCTATAAAGGAACTGAACAGTTCAAAATAAATTATAATTTCCTAAACCTTATATCTTTGCATCCTGATATTGTTGACCTTTTTTATTTCAAACTATAAATTCTGTTAGGTCAAAAGGTCACAAGGTTACAATGATTTAGAGTTTAAATAACAAGAGTTTGTGGCGAGTGATCAGCTCTATTGACCCAAATTTTAAAATCATTACTTATCCAATTAAAAAAAAAACTATGGCGTGGCATTTTGTTCAGCGATGGGCCTGTTTGGGCCCATTTAAAACTTATAGTTGGATATTTACCTGGATATTTATTAATATGTCTTCCATCAGGTTTCACTCATGGGTCAGCTTGATCCATACTTAACAGTCCATATAATCCATCCTCTTTGGATTCCTATGATACAAAAATAGAAGATAAAATGAAAAAGAAAGAAAAAATGAAACAAAGAAACTGAGTTCCTGCCACAAACTCTGATTTTCTTTTCTCTATATCTATGAAACCGAATATCGTAGACCTTAGAAATTTTAAGCTCTCAATTCTATATGATCAAATAATCTAAGTTTTAAATAGCAGAAGTTTACACTGCACCAGGTTATACTTTTCAAGTTAATCGAGATATTCATATATTTTTGTCTAAATTAACTGATACTGCGTTATACTGCGTACACTAACTGTTGCGATCTGTCTTATATATGTCCCCAGACCTATAATTAAAAATTATGAATATGGGAATTTACGTTTGAGGGAGGGGGGAAGTCCTCCCCCCCCCTCTGGGCCCATGCCACCCAAATTACACCTCTAGTTGTTCTCAATTTTCTTTTTCCGAGCCGCCACAATATCAAAAGGTGGTTCGGAAGTATGTGTTTGGAGGCTCGTGAAGTGAAACATAATGCTCTCTCTCCCTCTGATTGTTACCTGCATATAAAATGACCCTCTCTGCCACTCAATCAAGCATAGCTCCCATCCCCCCTCTTCGTCCCTATGCCCCCCCCCACCTCTAACCCCCCATTCCAATAACTGTGCCACACCCCTTAAATATATTAATTATGCTTAATAATTTTCTAAAATTATTTAACAATATTCTATAGAAAATTTCGTAGATTTTCAGAACAAGAAGTCTGATTTGGCAAAGGTGGTATATCCCTGAAAGGTGAAATCATAAATGTGCGCATGCGCCCAGTTTGTTATTAACAAGTGAACGCATAGTATTATTCGTGTCATTTTCTTTGAAAACTTATTCTAAATATTTTAGTTGGAAAAACAAATTATCAGTTATAAATAAAAATATAAATTATATTTCAGATTATTTTCTAAGAATATTATGCGTTCAATTAAAATTCCATTTCAAAACAGGGACCTTACTTTATTTAAAATTGAGATGATTATAATTGTCCTATTTTAGAAAATTTTCTACACACTTCTAAAGATATTTTTCAGACGAATTTTTAATTTAAAAATAAAAAAATAAATGTTGAAACCCTGAATGTCCTGTACACAGCGAAATCTTAGCGTATATTCAAGAATCCAAAATGGCGTTTTGTTAAAGTTAACTTGTTACTTTTTCGTTCTTAGTTTTATGTGTTTGTTAAGTTTGGAACCAATTTCTCGGCCGAATTGAGTGCAACGATGACGCAGGTTCTCGGCGTGGTGCCGACGGCCATCTCAGAATCGGCCCAAATCGGCGTTCGCGAATTTAAATGCGATTACTGTGGGAAAAACTATAGTTCAGCGAATTCGCTAAAAACTCATATTAAATGGCACACTGGTGACCTTAAACATAAATGTAGTTATTGTGACAAGAAATTTAGGAATCACAGTGAGCTGAGGAGACACGAAATGGTTCATACGGGTAATTTTTTTTATAACTATACGAGGGTCCGTCCTAGTATACGACTTTTAGACCCGGTCCTCCCTCCTATCATTTTGTGCATGACCACTTATTTTCACCAAATTTTTTATTTATAGTTTATTATTTTAAGTTTAGGTGAGNTTGTTATTAGTCCCTTTAATCTATTGTTGTTGAAACTCCCTCTAATTTATTGTTGTTAAAAGTCCCTTTAATTTATTGTTGTTAAAAGTCCCATTAATCTATTGTTGTTAAAAGTCCCTTTAAATTATTGTTGTTAAAAGTCTCTTTAATTTATTGTTGTTAAAACTCCCTTTAATTTATTTTTGTTAAAAGTCCCTTTAATTTATTGTTGTTATTAGTCCCTTTAATCTATTGTTGTTAAAACTCCCTCTAATTTATTATTGTTAAAAGTCCCTTTTATTTATTGTTGTTAAAAGTCCCTTTAATTTATTGTTGTTAAAAGTCCCATTAATCTATTGTTGTTAAAAGTCCCTTTAAATTATTGTTGTTAAAACTCCCTTTAATTTATTTTTGTTAAAAGTCCCTTTAAATTATTGTTGTTAAAAGTCTCTTTAATCTATTGTTGTTAAAACTCCCTCTAATTTATTATTGTTAAAAGTCCCTTTTATTTATTGTTGTTAAAAAGTCCCTTTAATATATTGTTTCTTACAGTACTTTCAATTTTCTGTTATGTAAGATTTAGTCCTGTGAAAGTATTTCTTGTTAACAATCCCTTTGTGGTATTTTTTTTGTCAGTTCCTTGAAGTTAGTTTTTGTTGACTGTTGTTAAGTTTTGCTTTGTTAACAGTCCCTTTAAGTTATATTTTGTTAACAACCCTTCAAATTTATTGTGCGTTTACAGTCCTTTTAACTTATTTTATATTTACAGACCCTTTGAGATATTTTTTGTTGACAAGTTTCATTAAGTTCAATTTTGTTAACAATCCCTTTGAGGTATTTTTCCTTTAAGTTAGTTTTTGTTGACTTTCCCTTTAAGTTAAAATTTTCTAAGAGTCCCATTAAGTTCTTGTATTACAGGTGAGAGACCGAACGAGTGTAGTTTCTGTAACAAGAAGTTTATTCAGAAGCATGCACTTAAAGATCATATGAGGAAACGACATGCTGACATGGTCAACCCGGCAGGGGTATGTATACATTTTATACCCCCTAGTCCCCATATTATTACCCTTAAACCATTTTATACCCCGCGTCCCCATATTATTTCCCGTAAACCATTTAGGGGCAATTAATTGAGACCTCCCTCCTGATTAGGATAAATCCTTATTATGAAATACAAAGTATAAAAACATTTTTCAATATTTAAAAAGAAGATAATTATATTTGATTTTTTAATTTTTTTTTTACAAAATAAACACTTTTAGGAATAAAAATATTGCCAAAAAATTGTCACCAGCACTGATATTCCTGAAGTTGTGAACCTTTAAAATTTTTCGAAGATTTTTTAATCCGGATCCAGGAAGCCAAAATCTTGCGGATCCAACAGATCTGAATCATGAACACTGCTTTTTAAAAATATAAAAATTAACATAAAGAATAATAAACAAAATAAAACACTAAAAATTTAAAAATCNCTTAAAAACATCTAAAGATAAAAATACGATTTAAACAGAAATATTTTTCGTAGGAAATAGTTTCCGCGCCATCTGGGTCGGAAAGCTCTCACTCTCGCCATCCCAGCAGCTCTTCTTCCCACTCCCGTCACCCCAGCAGCTCCAGCTATGGAGAAAACAGCTTACAAGGCAGCAGCAGTTTTCAAGGAAGCAGTACGGGAGTGGTGAGACGAGAGCTCATCTGTAAATATTGCCAGATCAGATTCCAGGTATTAATTATATAAAGTAGTAATCTTTTTTTGTCCGTTTGTATGTCCGATCATAACTCTTGTACTCCTGGACACATTTGCCTCAACTTGGGGAACTCGGGAGAACCATGGGAATGTCCTTATCTTGGTTTTGCAGATTCAAAAGTTGAGTTTTTAATGAAAAATAGTTCAAATCGTAATATAAAACTAAGCGCTGGTAAACGGCGGGAGTAACGATGAGTATTGAGTAACCTGGGCAACATCAAGCACATCAGCCAATGTAATATTAAGTTTGGGGACGCGGGTTAAAAAATGAACATAAACATATGGACAATGGACATATAAGTTTTCTCACCCTTTTTGATGCTTTTTCTCCAGAAATTCCACGAATCAAACCATAAATATTGGTTTTGAAAGAAAATATATTCCTTTTAAAAAATGATCTATAAATATTATATATACTTTGCTTGTCTGTCCTGTTTGTCTGTTTGTAACCGATAAACGTCACAACTGCTGAACCGATCAGGCTCAATTTTTTGTGAAACTTCACATGACTCTAGGGTTTATGGGTGATCAGAATTAAAAAAATTGTCTCCAAAAATTTTTAGATTTTGTAAAATTTTGAAAATCCAATAAATAAACATTGTAAATCCGCAAAAAGCTATTGTCTTTCGAAGAGAAAATTTTGAAAGATTGAGCAACAATAAAAAGTTAAAATAGAAGATATGCGCTAAGCGCCTTGATAGCCTAGGAATTTAAAAATTTTAAATGTTTAATTTTCACACTTTCCCCTTGTTTACAGGATGAAGCCTTACTGCTGGTTCATGAGGAGCGAGAAGCCCAGGAATTTGAGGCGCTTCACGAATCCTTCGAACAGAAGGAGTTCGGAGAATTCGAATCCTTTTCCTTACCGGAATACCTGGGACACGAAATAACAGCACCAGAGGTAGCGATAATTTCGGATTTTTAGATTTAAATTTCTAGTAGCTCATGGTTTCTGTCATTATTATTATGTCATGATTGTAATCATCATTATTTTTATTATTATTATTAACATCATTATCATTATTATTATAATTATTGCTACTATTCTCTCTTTTGTTGCAGGTTGAGGATAATAACAATGTTCAGGAGAAGTTTGAATACATAAATATAGATCTGGAGACATTACAGTCTCATGTTCCAAATATGCAGTTGGAGGCAGAGATGGTTGAGATCAAGGTAGGGTTTCATATCTGCCCCCCCCCCCTTTACAGTCTCATGTTCCAAATATGCAGTCTCACCTAGTTTGAAGTGGAGACGCAGGAGAAAATGAAAATATTAAGACTTTTATTCATTTTCATGGAATTTATCACACCAAATATTTCTTATTATATGGCGACAAGGTAACTTTATCGACCTATATCATTGTAATGGAAATTTTTAAGGTATTTTCGATCAAAATAAAATAATTATATGTTTATTTGCAGGAGGAGCCGAGGGCATTCCAGCTTACGAGGAGATCTGAGCCTGTTATTCTAGAACCAAAGGCCGAGCCCAATAGTATACTTTCATCTCTTCTTCAGACCAACCAGACTAATCTTCATATCAACCAGACTAATCTTCAGATCAACCAGACTAACCAGATTAACCAGACTAACCAGATCAACCAGACCATCCAGACCAATGTCCAAATCAACCATTCTATTGTTCACATCAACCAAACTAAACCAACCTTCAGTCCAATCCATCAAGGGTCACCCCCGGATGTGGGGAGTGTCCTGGCCCCTTCTCCGACTGTGCCTGGAGTCTCTTTTACTGGAAATATTGGAGTCCCTTCAAGTTCTACTTCCATGGAGTCCTCTCATGTTTCAGTGGTGCTTCCTAGCTCTCCACTCCCTCTATCCTCCCTGGACCCTCGGTCCTTCAACTCTCCCTCTGTATCTACACTTGGTAGGGCGCTCCCCGCCTCCCCTGTGCCCCTCCCCTCACTCCACCCTCCTCATTCGCTGAGCGCGCCGGCTCCTAGGCGGCCAGAAGTCGGGGTTCACGGAGTACAGGGTGCACCTGGAGTTCATGCTGTACAAGCTGGAGATGAGAGTACAGGTGTACACTCGGGGATTTCTCATATGGAACAGTTGGGGGATTTCTTTAATTCTTTAGAGAAGAAATACCATCATTTAGATCTTCAGCTAGGGATTCCAGGTAGATACTTAATTGATTGATAATTAGTTTATCAATTGATAAATTAGGTGATAAGTCGATCAATTGAAAAAATACTAATCTAAAATTCTAATTGGTTTGATTGAAATTAATTTTATTGAAATTAAATTTATTGTTATTAATTAATATTTTTTCTGGTTTGACTGATTGACAAGACTAATTTACTAAGAAATATTAAGGCCGTTGATAAACGTATGATTTTTGTTGATTCTGGCAAACCTAATTGATTATTTGATCTTATATTTAATCTCATATTTGATCTCATATTTGAAATATATTTTTGATCTCATATTTGACCTAATATTTGATCATATTTGATCTTATCTTTGATCTCATATTTGATCTCATATTTGAAATATATTTTTGATCTCATATTTGATCTAATATTTGATCATATTTGATCTCACATTTGATCTTATATTTGATCTTATATTTGATCATATTTGAAATATATTTGATCTTATATTTGATCTTATATTTGATCTTATATTTGATCTTATATTTGATCTTATATTTGATCATATTTGATCTCACATTTGATCTTATATTTAATCTTATATTTGATCTCATATTTGATCTTATATTTGATTTTATATTTGATCTTATATTTGATCATATTTGATCTTATATTTGATCTTATATTTGATCTCATATTTTGGGGAATATTTCTGCAAATAAAATACCCTTGTCTCCACGTAGGATTGATCCAAGGAAAGTATCTTATCTTGAAAGGAACTGTAACATCCAGAGATTTACAACGGGTCCCTAGACACCTTTATTTAATCAACAAGGAAGAATATCTTTTTTTTGGTTTAAAAGTGTTTAATTTTGATAATTACTTCATGTTTTCCTACAGGAGAAAAGCGCAAGTCACTTCTAAAGGGAAACCACACTTGAAAGTATTCAGTTTTTAAAATTTTATACATTGATATATTTAATTTATACTTAATCAGACTAAGTTATTAAGGGTACCGTTGTGAATATAATCATAAATTTAAGAAAATATATTTTCTTAATTAAACATGTTAAGTAATCCAATGAACTATTAATAATTTGTTTAATATTTTGTAGAAGTTCTTCCACGCCTGTGGATACTATCCTTGTTTCCAACCTCACCCAAGATATGCGTCCTGCTCAAGAGATGCGTCCTGTCTCTGAAATGCGTCCTGACCAGGATATGCGTCCTGTTCAAGAGATGCGTCCTGCCCCAGCGTATGACGCCTACTCCTCCGAGCACCGGATCATGTCCTTGGCCGAGCTGGGGTTCGTGGGGACCAACGGGACCAATCAGTCCATTATACCTGTACCCCAGGACCAGTTTCAGGGACCCCAAGGACCCCACGATCAGTTTCAGGGACCGATCAAGCAAGAACATTTACCCTTTGCTCAGGTGGGTTTATGTTGTAATTAAAACAAAGTTTTACTTAATTGCGGAACATTATAAATTTCTTTGAGTTCAAAATTTAAAATTTAAAAATTTAAAAAAATTTTATTACAGAAATCTGTTCCTGCAATGGAATTCTACGCGGTCAAGCACGAGATAAAACAAGAAAATCTGCAATCGGAGGTTCAGGGAAATGCGGGAACCTGTTCACCAGCTGGTGGGCCGGTGTACAGAACCGGTTCTCCAGCAGCTGGCGGCGTGTACAGCTGTGTGAAGGAGGAGGAGGACTCCCTGCAGTATATAGGTCTGGATCAGAGTGAGATACAGGATCTGGCGGTCAACAGTCAGGTCAAAGCTGAAATAAAGATTGAAGAACATCTACAGGTAATTTCACATCTTCTCATCTCAGAAGTATTTATTTTGAAGAACTTCCCTCCCCCCTCTCCAGGGGGGTAGTAAAATGAACTTTGACCACGGGAGGGGGGCTAAGTGAAAAAGGATTTTTTAAAAGTATTTCCATGAATTTTTCTCCTAAATAGTTTTCTCAAAAACTTTTCTATTTTTGCGATGAATTTATGCATCGTAAGTCTCGTCCTTTTTTAGATTTTAAATTATAGGAGTTTTTATCTATATTTCAGTAGCGGTGTGGGGGGATTATCATAGTTACAAAAAAACTAAATATAAACATGTTTATTTGATCAGGTCGCGAAACAGGAAGATATCGGAGCGTTCTGCCAAGGAAACATTAACGGAATAAATAAAATCTTTAACAAAGAAGTGTTTATTTTTTAATTAAGATTTTTATTTTTTATTTTTGTTTGATGAAGTAAATGTTGTCGTTGACAGGGTTATTAAATGAGATGGATCGATCCACCTGGACCCATCTTAACATTGCAGAGTTCCATCTTCATCCATCAGAGGTATCTCATTTCATCTTTTCTTATCCTGTCTTATCTTATCTTTTCTTATCTTATCTTATCTTATCTTATCCTGTCTTATCTTTTCTTATCTTATCTTATCTTATCTTATCTTATCTTATCTTATCTTATCTTATCTTATCTTATCTTATCTTATCCTGTCTTATCTTATCTTATCTTATCTTATCTTGTCTTATCTTATCTTATCTTATCCTGTCTTATCTAGTCTTGTCTCATCTTGTCTTATCTTATCTTATCTTATCTTATCCTGTCTTATCTTATCTTATCTTGTCTTATCTTATCTTATCTTATCTTATCCTGTCTTATCTAGTCTTGTCTCATCTTGTCATATCATATCTTATCTTTCAGCAAACCGACGTTTTCCTGACTGGAAAAGTGTCCAATTCTGTTAATTTATCCATGGCTTTTTATAAGCAAGAAATGCGCAAGTGAGATATGTAAAGAAGTCGCAAATGAAAATAAGGATTATAAAGAAACTAAAACATGGATTTCTAATTTCTAATTGAGCGGACAAAGCCTTTAAGATCACCGTTGTAAATCGGGCTCTGCCATCTTGGCACGGAGGGTCACTTAAACATTACACTTACTAAGTGGTCGGTTAAGATTATTCCCTCCAATTTTAAATTTTATTTTGCTTAGGAGCAACAGACTGTTAGTATACAGCCGGTTCAACAGCAACAACATCAACAACAGATGGTTTACGTGGATAACAACTCAACGGTAAAAACTGATAACAAATGGATTCATCCATAACATTTTTTTTAAAATGAAATTTTTACTTCTGCCCTGATCATCTGTATACAAATTATGTTCTCAATAATTTTTAACTTCAAATGATTCATGCGTTTTATTGACTGTTCTCGGCAGACCGTCCAGTGGTATTATCGAATCCCCATAGATACGCTTAATGGAGAGGAACATCGGCCCCAATTTCATCGGATGATGGGTTGTCTTTTATTAATGATAGTAATGATAATAACAATAATAATTACAATAATTGATTTATTGATTTCCAGGAATTGCATGTGCAGAATGGATTGGATACTACACCTACACCCTGGGCCACTGGTCAGTAACATTTTTGCGGATAAAAAAAAAGTTTGCGCATTTTTAACTTCTGACAAGATTCCCAAAAAAAATCGCTCCATAAAAAATTAAAGATGAGATGTTACAATAGAAAAATGTTCTCAAGGCAGACTGTTACCCAGACTGTTGACAAGGCAAAGTGTAACTAGTCAAAGTGTGACTAGGTCAAAGTTTACCAAAACAAACTGTTACCAAGGCAAAATTTGACTAGGGAAATATGGTTGGGAGACCTAAGCCCCAAGTTTCCAGAAGAAATTCTGCGCCTATACATTTTTCGAAATGTGTACTAATAACATACAAAATACTACAATGGCAAGATGTAACCAAGGCAAAATGTTACCAAGACAAAATGTTACAATGGCAAGATGTTACCAAGGCAAAATTACTTTTATATAGAAACCACATTTACTAGAGGAGCAAGTTGACTGTTTAAATTAATCTGAATTAAGATAAATTTTTATGAACTTAGGAATACAACTTTACGCATTTACAGAAAAGATAATTTAATACTTAATTGATTTATTTATTGATTTATTGATTTATTAATTGATTTGTTTATTAATTTATTTATTGATTTATTTATTGATTGATTTACTAATTCAGGGTCTAGCCTTCCCTCTGGTTGGATGATAAGACATGTAAACTATTTAACAGGTAATTAATATTTATAATTTTTATTAATAATTTATTTTTATCATTATTTATAAACAAAATGTAGTATTGTTAGAATTATTATAATTCTTTATTTAAATCTGTTAAAATAAAACAAATTTTGGTCTAAAAAAAAATTTGAACTGTTAACAAATAACTTCCTAATATCTAATAGAGGAACGCCAAAAAAATGTTCAAGGGTTTAGTCCGCTGAATAGGGAAAAGTTAAAAAAGTAAAATGTTTTTTTGGGGTCAAATATCCAAATAAAATTAGAAAACTTCTCTTTGGAAGGGGAATGAGGGGAAATCTATATAGCAATAGCAAACGGCTGGACCGAATGGGCTGACATTTTTGAGGGAATCCATGGGTGCCCGGGAAATAACATATGCTAAAAAAATGCAACTTATTTTGTACTTTCAAAAATCAAATTTTTTAAATTCTAAAAACAATTCCACGGGCACTCCAGCTAGTTTATAATATTTCATGCCCCTAAATCTTTAATCTAGTTAAATTTAAATATTATCTGGTAGGGAACCGTGTGAAGAAGAGATCTGAGTTTTTGTCTCCAGAAGGAGAATTCTTCTCCTCTAGGAAGGAAGCCATTGATTTCCTCATACGCACTTGTGCACCCCAGGTAAGCCGGGTCACTGGCGCATTCAGATATTTTTTCTGCGAACTGGCGCATTCAGATATATCTCCGGTGCACTGTGGATTTATTTAAGCTTACTTATCTAAAATCTATAACCGTGAATTGAATAAGTGACTTACTAACTATTATAGTGGATTGATTGATTCAAGATTATTTATGTGGTCGTAGGACGTCCCTGAGAGTCTTATTGGATTTGGATTTGATTGACTAGTTGATTAGTTGATTTACATATTAATTCTTAATTTCTCGATTTTTAGACTGATATAAGTTTACTGAGGAAAGGTCTCAAACTAAAAGTAAACGCTGACTGGAAAGAGGGAGCTCTGGATATACCCCAGGTTAGTTTTGGGAAACAGTCGCTTTATAATAAAGCATATATATTTTAACCGTCCCTTTAATACCTGTAATATGAACCTATACAGGGAATAGTCCCTTTAATACCTGTAATATGAACCTATACAGTGAACACTCCCTTTAATACCTGTAATATGAACCTATACAGGGCATAGTCCCTTTAATACCTGTATTATGAACCTATACAGGGAATAGTCCCTTTAATATCTGTAATATGAACCTACACAGGGAATAGTCCCTTTAATATCTGTAATATGAACCTATACAGGGAATAGTCCCTTTAATATCTGTAATATGAACCTATACAGGGAATAGTCCCTTTAATATTTGTAATATGAACCTATACAGGGAATAGTCCCTTTAAAACCTGTAAAATGAACCTATACAGTGAACACTCCCTTTAATATCTGTAATATGAACCTATACAGGAACACTTCCTTTAATATCTGTAATATGAACCTATACAGGGAATAGTCCCTTTAATACCTGTAATAGGAACCTATACAGGGAATAGTCCCTTCAATATCTATAATATGAACCTATATACTTATATGAACAGTCTTGTGTTACTAGTATATTATACCACCTTTACACGAAATGGGTGCGAATAATATGAAATATTCCTGATTTGGCTACGTAGTAAATCCGACAAGATATAATATCTGTTATTCTAGGGTTGGAAAAGCAGAGAAACCCTTTCCACGGATAACAAGCTCAGAACCTTCTACCTCTCACCAGGTTGGGATTGATTGATTGATTGATTAATTGATTAATTGGATAGTTGATTCGTTGATTGGTTGGTTGGTTGATGGATTGATGGAATCTTTAAAATCTTCATTTGTTGGTTCATGGATTGTAAATATTTTGATTAATTGATTCGTATATCAATTTTGATGTATTTAATGTTTGATTAATTGATTGATCTTAGAATTCGTCGTTGGTTAATTGTTAGAATATAAATAATTTGATTAATCAATTCTTTGATCAATTTGGATTTATTTTATTTAATATTGATTGATTGAATGATTGATTTATGTAATCTTTGAATTCGTCGTTTGTTGGTTGTTAGATTATCAATAATTTGATTAATAAATTGTAGATTAATTTGGATTAATTTGATTTAGATTGATTGATTGATTGATTGATGTTTAGGGGGTTTAAGCTTTGCTTGTCGCCAGGCTGCGTACGATCACATGATCAAAGTTGGAACATATGCTCCGCAGGTAAAAATACTTTTTTGCTTTAAAAAAAATGTCATGGATAAAGTTATTGTTGTCAACATTTTTTTCTTTAATGTTCTTAAAGTGAATTCGTGCTATTTTAAAAGAAATTTTTAAATCCTCTTTTTAAAAGTAATACTTCAAAATCATGTAAACTTGGGACCCTTGTTTTCTTTTCTTTTAAATTGAAATATTTTTTTTGATTCACTCCTATTAAACACTGCAATATAAATAATTAATTTAAGATAAAGAATAGAGGTGCAAAGGTTATTAGAGTACCTGTGTATATAGGACATGTCGCTCTTTAAACATAGGGAAATTTCGTCAACATTCCCTTTAATGACTTTTTCTGTAGGATGTTGATCTGATGCATCAAGGTCTCAAGGACAAGAGTAGAGTTGGGAAGGTGATCAGTTTTCTTGGTTGCGCATTTCTTCGATTAGCTTACTTGTTAATATCTTCATTTTTATTAGTTTCTTTGGTTTTTAGCTATCTATCTTTTTATCCATTTAGCCATCTATCTATTTATCTAGTTAGCTATTTATCTATTGATCAACATTTATCTAGATATCTATTAATGTATCTATCTATATCATGTTAAAACTACTGAAGCATCAAGCCTTGAAACAATTTCTATAGTAATAGCCTGATATATACCACAATGTTTTACAATGTTTGAAAGTGTTGCTGAAACTTTAAATATATCTCTATATATGTTATTTATTCATCTATACATACATCTATACCCCTGTATCTACATCTGTCTATCCATATATCTAGCTATCTAACTATCTCTATATCTATCTATCTATCTATCTATCAGATGAACAAGACTGTAGGAAAAGATAAACTATTCCTATCTGGTGACCCAACCATACCTCCGGGCTGGAAGATACGGGTCAACTCACAGGGCAGAGAAAACTTCAGGTAGGAGGTAGAGAAAACTTCATGTAGGGGGTAGAGAAAACTTCAGGTTGGAAGCAGAGAAAACTTCAAGTAGGGAGAAGAGAAAACTTCATGAAGGGAGAAGAGGAAACTTCATGTAGGGGGTAGAGAAAACTTAATGTAGGGGGTAGAGAAAACTTCATGTAGGGAGAAGAGAAAACTTCAGGTTGGAAGCAGTGAAAACTTCAAGCCGGGAAAAAAGAAAACTTCATAAAGGGAAATGAGAAAACTTTATGTAAAGGGTAGAGAAAACTTCAGGTAGGGGAAAAAAAACTTCAGGTAGGGAGGAAAAAAACTTCATGTAGGGGGTAGAGAAAACTTCAGGTTTGAGGTATAGAAAAATAGAGGTAACGGGTAGAGAAAACTTCAGGTAGGGGGTATAGAAAACTTCAGGAAGAAAGGTTTGTTTGATTAATTTGTTTGAGATGAAAATAATATAGTAATTGGTTGGATGATAGGTTTATTGGTTGGTTGGTTGGTTGGTTGGTTGGTTGGTTGATTGATTGATTGATTGTTTGATTGATTTATGTATCAGGTCCCCTGCTGGACAGTTCTTTCACACCAGACAATCTGTTCTAGATCATATGCGGCAAGAGGGATATTCATTAGAACAGGTAATTCATTCATTTACTTATTAATGTATTCAATCATTTATTCATCAATTTATTCAATCATTTATACATTTATTGATTCATTTTTTTATTCATTTATACATTTATTCATTCTGTCATTCATTTATTCATTCATTTATTCATTCTTTCATTCATTTAACTAATCTTTTTATTAATTTATTTTTTGATTTATTCGTTTATTCGTTTATTCGTTTATTCGTTTATTCGTTAATTCGTTTATTCGTTTATTCGTTCATTCGTCAATTCGTTCATTCGTTAATTCGTTAATTCGTTTATTCGTTTATTCGTTTATTCGTTTATTCGTTTATTCGTTTATTCGTTTATTCGTTTATTCGTTTATTCGTTTATTCATTTATTCGTTTATTCGTTTGGTCTTTTATTCGTTTATTCGTTTATTCGTTTGTCCATTTCTCCATTATAGTATTCAGCAGCATACAGATCTGTCTATCTATATATTTATCTAGATAAACCTAGTGGGTAGTAGAATAGTAAAGACGAAGAAACACCGTTCTAGTATACAGCAGCATACAGACTGGAAGGAGAATGATCCAACTGTGCCGGTCAACTGGAAGATCAAACAGGTAGACATTCATTCATTTATATATTCACCCTTTCATTCATTCATTCATTTATTCATGTATTCTTCCTATCAATCGTTTCTTTTTATTTAGCCGTTTTTTTCCTTTTCTTATTCATTCCTTTATTCATTAATACATTCAATTCATTTATCATCTATATACTGTTATAATGATATTATTCTCTCGTCTCTTTACTAAGTAAATTTTATTAATTTGTCTTTACCCATCTATATCTCTATCCATCTATATCTCTATCCATCTATCCTTCTCCCTAATATATTCAATTCATTTATCATCTATATACTGTTATAATGATATTATTCTCTCGTCTCTTTACTAAGTAAATTTTATTAATTTATCTTTACCCATCTATCCATCTAGCCATCTATCCTTCTCCCTAATTGTTTATCCATATATGTTTATCTATTTATCTATCCATCTATCTATCTTATTTATCTATCTTATTTATCCATCGTATCTATCTCTATTATCTATTTATGTTAATCCGTCTATATATCTTTATCTATCTATCTATTTATATATATATTAGTTGAAACGCAACAATCTTCTTATAACATTTTATTTATCTATTTATCTATGTATCCAACTTTCTATCTAGATAACTACCGAGGATGGACTAACTATAACCACCTTCCTAACACCTGACGGAGTAACTATCAGAGTAAGATATTATTGTCAGACACTTAACAAACAGGCGTTTGCATGGAGGGGGGGGGGGGGTATTGGGGCTCAGCCCTCTTGGTCAGTGAAATCTATGGATTACATGAGATTTTCAGGCTCCAACGGGCATTAAATACCCCCTGGAAAAAACTAAGCCCCCCCCCACCTCTGAAAAAAATCCTGTAAACTTAACTTCTAGCAAGACGACCTCTTGTGTCATGATGACAGAGTCATATATATTCGATAAATTATAACCCCTTCCATTATAAAAACTTAATGTCGATTTTATATTTTACTGGTGGAAGGGGGTGGGGGGTACAAATAATTTTAAACCAAACGCTGAACTGTTAATCAGTATCTCATGTAAAACAATCTTGCCGCTTTGCTTCAGATTGTCTAACCGTAGGATCATAGTAAACAGTTGGAACGCACATTAATCTACAGTTCCCATATCATATTAGATCGTTTAGAACTCGAAATTGAGATTTAAGGGTCAAATCATAAAATTGAAAAAGAATGAAAAATCGAAGAAAAATTTTTTTTACAGAAAATACCAGATTTTTCGATATTATGCGCGCTTATTTTGTTGTTAAAGCTTGGAGATAATCCAATATAATATGGGATGCTCTGTAGTATGACGCTGTTTGTTTACCTAAGCTCGTGGGTTATTTGTAAACAAACAAACTTCAGATGATTGAAAAAAATTGGGACAAATAACGTGCATGTATTTTAATGTATGTTCCCCTCTTAAAATAAGTCCTGTGTCTGCAGTCAATAGTACATTTACTGCCAGGAGAGAGAAACAGCACTAGAGTCAGCGGAATCTCTGTTTCTGCGCAAGAACCCTACTCACTGCGTAGATTTTTGGAACATTCATGAAAACGCGATCGATCAAACTTTGAATCAATTTTACAATTTTACAGGGGTAGATATTGTCTTGAAATTTAAAAAAAAAAATTCCACTGAAATTGATTTAAATGTTGAAAGTATCAAAAATGGGGTAACTTGCCTATTGATGTCAAATTTTTCATTTCCCCAGAGCATCAAAAATAAATTTTATTTTTGAAAATAATCATGAAAAGTATTTATTGTAAGATATTCTGCGTCAAAACATTTTTCGAAATGTATTATTTACACAAAAAGACGGGAATAGTTAAGTTAACACAGACACAATTTATTTATTAAGTTGATTTTTTGCCACTATAAATATAATTTGTTTTAAAGATAATAAAATATTTAATGTTCATATGTCGTCTTCCTATTCCACAGTTTGGGCCCTACTGTACTGTGGAGTGTGGAGTCACTTTTTTCACCTCCTAGTTTCTCTAATTTTCAGGGTGGCCAAAATGTACGGATTGTACGGATTTTTTTTCAAATTGTACGGATTGTACGGATTTTTATCCTGGAAATACACCGGTTTTTTAAAATTTGCACTCATTTCAGCAAGTTTTTCATGAAAATTTCAAAAAAAAATCTCGTCAAAATGAAGTTAGTATAACTTATTTTCTGCATTCTAAATAATATTAGATTGATTAACGTTTCAATTGACAATCAAAATTCATTCATAATTTTCGAGATCCCAGAAGTGTTCATTTGAGAATATGTTCCAGAAGTGTTCATTTGAGAATGTGTTTATCTATCTGTCTCTCTGTCTAGCTAACTGTCTATTTATCTGTCTATTTATCTGTCTATTTATCTGTCTATCTATCTGTCTATCTATCTGTCTATCTATCTGTCTAGCTCCCTGTCTAGCTATATGTCTAGCTATTTGTCTAGCTATCAATCTAGCTATCTGTCTATCAATCTGTATATCTATCTGCATGTCAGTTTATCTATCTTTTTATTTATCTGTTTATATATCCTATTTGTCTCTCTGTTTATCTATATGTGTATGTGTCTAACTGTTTCTCTGTCTTTCTATCTGTCTGTCTGTTTATCTATCTATCTATCTGTCTCTTTATCAGATCTGAGAACATCATCTCAGGTTTCCTCCGTTTATCTGTAAATCTTTTCATTTTTAGTTTAATATTAACTTTCTTTTAATTGAGTGTGCAGCCCCTATACCACGCTATTTTTAATTATATTAGATCCTAAATCTACACTCCACTCTTTCTAATTATAACTTAATTGTTTGGTTGTTAAATGGCCTACACACTGATCTAAACAGTTTTAAAAATTAGAATCAACGCTCTTTAGTTCTCTAGTTCTCTGGTTCTCTNGTACGGATTGCAGGGATTTTTTTCAAAAAATTGTACTGATTGTACGGATTTTTTCGAAAATTGTACGGATTTTTAAAAAAATGTACGTATTTTTTCAAAAAAAATGTACGGATTTTACGGATTTTTTTTCGAAAATTGTACGGATTGTACTGATTTTTTTCGAAAATTGTACGGATTGTACGTATTTCCTCTGAAAATGTACGGACTTTTGTACGGATTTTTTCAAAAAAGTTTTGGCCACCCTGAGTTTTGTTTATGCGCCCTCGCATTCTAATTTATTGCACATTAGTTTGTTGTTCTCAATAGAGTTTAATAAAGATATTTTATGATTGAAAACTTGGTAAGATTTCAACATAACGTGAAGTTTACTTTACAATAACGTGTTGTATATATGTACCTAATTAGTTATGTACTGTAGGGTCAACTTATAAGTTATGTACTGAAGGGTATCCTATTAAGTTACGTACTGTAGGGTCGCCTAATAAGTTATGTACTGTAGGGTATCCTTTTAAGTTATGTGCTGTAGGGTCGCCTAAAAAGATATGTACTGTAGGGTCGCCTAATAAGTTATGTACTGTAGGGTCGCCTAATAAGTTATGTACTGTAGGGTCGCCTATTAAGATATGTACTGTAGGGTTGCCTATTAAGTTATGTACTGTAGGGTCCCCTATTAAGTTATGTACTGTATGGTCGCCCAATAAGTTATGTACTGTAGGGTCGCCTAATTAGTTATGTACTGTAGGGTCGACTAATAAGTTATGTACTGTAGGGTCGCCTATTAAGTTATGTACTATAGGGTCGCCTATTAAGTTATGTACTGTATGGTCGCCTAATAAGTTATGTACTGTATGGACGCCTAATAAGTTGTGTACTGTAGGGTCGCCTATTAAGTTATGTACTGTATGGTCGCCTTATAAGTTATGTACTGTATGGTCGCCTAATAAGTTATGTACTGTAGGGTCGCCTATTAAGTTATGTACTGTATGGTCACTAAGTTATGTACTGTATGGTCGCCTAGTAAGTTATGTACTGTAGGGTCACCTATTAAGTTATGTACTGTATGGTCGCCTAATAAGTTATGTACTGTATGGTCGCCTAATAAGTTATGTACTGTAGGGTCGCCTATTAAGTTATGTACAGTATGGTCGCCTAATAAGTTATGTTCTGTATGGTCGCCTAATAAGTTTTGTACTGTAGGGTCGCCTGGTCGCCTAATAAGATATGTACTGTAGGGTCGAAAGGCTGCGCTGACCCATATGCTGAAGACTGGATTGTATGGGAAGGAAGATATAGAACTAATGCGACAGTATTCAAATGTACTCTGTAAAATAAGGTCAGACATTTTTTTTTCTTTTTCTTCGTTATTTTGCTCAGGTATTTTTTTTACTTAAATTTTTTTTGATTTGTTCATTTTTTGCCTTGTAAACTGTTCATTTTGTTCATTTGTTTGGTACAAAAGTTAAGTTTTTTTGTGAACTGTTCATGTTTTTCGCTGTTCTCTTCTAAATTTTTTATTTTTTAAATTTGTTTTGTTCAACAGTTCATTTTTTCCATGTAAACGGTTCAGTTGTGCTTTTGTTCACGTTTTTACTCTTTACCTTGTAAACTGTTTTGTTCTTTTGTTTGTTTGACATTTTGTCGCTGTTGAACCATTTATTTGTAAGTTTTTTTCTTTTTTCTAGTAGATAAGTTATTTTTATTTTTAACTTGATCTTGTGTTTTAGTGATACCTGGCTATCTGGGGATTCATCTCTTCCTGCAGGTAAATATTTTTTTCAGAGATTTTAACACCTTTGAACCGTTGTCTGAGTAGCATTGAGGAAAATATCGCCTTTTTCTATCTGTAAAAGTATAAATTTTAATAAATTCAATTCCTTGAAAAATATAGATTTTAAGATTGAAAAATAAGAGTATCTTTATACCTTCTGCTCAATAGAAGGTGTTCGAAAGGAACTGATGTAAATGAGGCATGTTACTATTTAAAGGAACTGATGTAAATGAGGCATGTTACTATTTAAAGGAACTGATGTAAATGAGGCATGTTACTATTTAAAGGGNAGGTTGTATATGTATAAACACGCACATAAGGGAGCGATAGTCCAGAGCTATTGAAAACCTTATTTTGGATACATCTGAATATCCACTGTGGAAACATTGATTTCTGCTTAATCCGTTCTTTGGATATCCCTACTAGATTCCGACCAATGAGAGGTCTCTCGTTAAATGGCGCGTAAAATTTCAAATTTCCCGGATTCTAATTGGCTATTCGGTACTTTGTATACTCACTCTGATTGGTTGGATCTTAGACAATTTCCTGGATTCAAACTAGAGACAAAAATAATGTTAAGATGTTGTAACAAGAAGAGTTGATCAAGCATTGATCTCGAAATCCACAATTGTAAAGCTTTCAGCTCAGAATGACTAAACTGAGATTGCGACAGTTGAATTTGTTTATAGGAAGGGAGTGCTTGAGCACATGCGCAAGACTGGAGGCTACACTGAAGCAGATTTCCTGCGCGTCGAGCGCGCTCAAAATAAGCCAGAGCGCCGGAAAACTGAAGATCTCGAACCCCGCCAGGACTTTCGGTCCCGGCCGGATGTCCAGCCTCGACCGGAAGTGATGAAACCCGAAGAAGTTTGGTCTGAAGCAGATTTCCTGCCAGCTGGTTGGAAGGAGAGGGAGGGAACCTTCTTGTCTCCGCAGGGGGAGATATACTTCTCTGTTAACGAGGTAATAAAGGGAAATAAATGATGAATTAATTAGTTAATGAAAGGGATTGCAGGGAATGTCGATTTCACCCATCAGTACTTCCCCTGTCTACACGCATTTTATACACCCCTGACCGTAACCCTAGCTTAGGTCAACATCCTCGACCGACCCCCCTAATGTGTTTTTAACAATGTTCCTGTGTTAAGGATTTCAGAATTTTAGCTTTTCCATAATTAGATATCTTGTTCCATAATTAGATATCTTGTTCCTTAATTAGATATCTTGTTCCATAATTAGATATCTTGTTCCTTAATTATATATCCCATAATTTGTTAAGTTGTTTAAATCCAAAGAGAATAATGGGAACATTATATGACAGTCATATTATTTCAAAGTTGGATTTAAAGTAAAAGATATTTAGTGAAATAAACGCCGAAAAGTTTTAGATATTCAATACAAATTATGGAAAAAGGCATTCTAAACTATTCACCATATTAGCATACATTAACACTGTCAATTTCTGTCCCTAACTTGTGTTGTTAAATTAATCTAGGTTTTGAGTATACTTGAGCAGAGCAGCGGACTAAGTTACCATGAAATATCAAGACTAAAGAAGCTTCTCATCAACAAACATGAAACTGCTGCTACCTCCCAACCAGGCGCAGTTGATCTAGCAGCTGCTGGAGAAGCAGCTTTCCAACAGCTACTCGAGGGACAGGAGAGGAAGGGGCAGCTGTTTGAGGGGGTTGAGGAGGGGTTGGAGGGAGAGGAGAAGAAGGAGTTGATAGGTCGAGGTTGGAAGATTTGTCCAACTCTGCCGAAAGGATGGAGAATAAAGACTCATTATTGGGGAAATAGGTGAGTTGGTTATGAATTGGGAATACAGGAGTAGAATTGTTGATGGAATGGGATTATGGATGATGGATAATGGATTTGGGATTACAGTGGAAAAATTGGAATTAAGGATGATGGAATGGAATTAAGGATGATGGATTGGAATTAAGGAAAAGGGATTAGGATTATGGATGATGGATTGGGATTATGAATTTGGATTATGAATGACGGATTGGGATTATGATTGATAGATTGGGATTATGGATGATGGATTGGGATTGTGGATGATGGATTGGAATTATGAATGATGCATTGGGATTATGGTTGATAGATTGGGATTATGGATGATGGATTGGGATTATGGTTGATAGATTGGGATTGTGGATGATGGATTGGGATTATGGATGATATATAGGAATTATGGTTGATGGATCTGGATTATGGATATAGGGATTATGGTTGATGGATTTGGATTATGGATGATGGATTGGGATGATGTAAGATGGATTGGGATTATGGATATACGGTTTCTGGTTGATGGACTATATCTATTTTTTTAGAGAAAAGCACTTGTTCCGGTCTCCAGGTGGAAAAGTGTTTAACTCCCGGAAGTTGGCAGTCCAATATCTGGAGGAGAACGAAATTCTTCCGACCGCAGAACTGGAAAAGTTACGGAACGGTCCAAAGAAACGGAAAAGGGGAAAACTCCCGGGAAGACGGAAGGTCCGGAATATTTTTTCATTAGTTTTAAAATTGNCCCTCACAAATATATTGATTTTTTACTTTGTCTGAATTTTCTGTCCCTCAATGCATATTTCTAAAACCGTTAACGCTGTTTTAGATACTGAAAAGGGGTCCTAAAGAAGCTAGCGAAGAAAACGACACTCCCGTCGCAGAAAGAAAACAAAACGTGAAACCTAAGAAAGTCCCGCCCCCAGTTAGAAACAATATCCAGACGAGGAAATCCTCAAGGAAAATGGAAACTATCGCTGAAGAGGACACCCTGCCTGATCATGATGTTCAAATGGCGGAAACCTCAAATTTGGCGGGAACTGAGTCAAAATTGGCGGGAAACGGGAATATGGCGGGAATTGAAACCAAAATGACAGAACTAAGCGCTCCGTCCCACAAGTCTGATAAACCAGTTATAATAGAACCAGTTGAGGATATACTTGATATCGAGGAGGATAGTTCCCTTCCAACCCTTCTCCCTTCAACCTCTCTGCATAGGACACCGGCCGACGAATTCCTGAAAGATGAATTAGACAAATCTCTTGAAGAAGTCTAGATCTTGTAAAACGTGGACAATATTTCTCTAACTCTCTTATGCACAAACTAATTTGTGGCAATACGATTTTTTTACAGTTGTGATCTTTAATCAAATTCGGAGTTTGTTTACGTCTTTGCAGTACATGCGTTGACGTCATAAAGTTGTTTTTGCTGTACTGCCATTCATGAATCTTATTCGCCAATAAAGATGCGTACCAGTTTTGCCGCAAATAGATGTAAACAAACCTTCCTGTTTTTCCAGCGCAATGGTTTAGTTAAAGGGTCTGTAAGCGTATTTTTAGATGGCAATGATCGATTTACAACGGTATCCTGTCTGATCAAGTAGGAATTCAGATATCAATGGTTTTTTTTTCACTATTCATTTTTAATTTTCAATGGCGGGTTCACTGCGAAAGTAACTGCGCATTTCTTGCTAATACAAAGCAATGGAGAAATTATCAGACCTAAACACTATTGGAGTCAGACAAACGACGGTATCTTTCTCATTTTTGATCCGATGAAGGTACCATTGTTAATCGGTCATTGCCATCTTTGCATGGAGGAACACTTTAAATATCGCATATACTCTCTTTAATAAAGTCCCAGTTTTAGTTCCCACCCTATTAGATTTTAATCTTCCAAACTCGTGCCTTGGAATTAATGTATGCCGTCCTATTTTGTTGAAATGGAGAAAGCCTAGAATTTTTTTTTTAAATGCCGCCAATTTTATATATAGCCGCCAAAATCAAAAAGGCTGCTAAATTCAACATGTCCGTAAAATTCAATGTAGCAGCCAAATTTAATATTCCGGCACATTCAATATGGCCGCCAAATTCAATATGGCCCCCAAATATGAAATGACCATTGAACTGCCCCAAAACTTTCTAGATGTTCTCTCCATGTTATGTTCACAAAATATTTATATATATTTTTATTAATATTAAATTTGCATTTTTCTTACTAAACCAATGTATTATACTTTTAAGTAGAGAAATAAAACTTAAATAAATGATAATTTGAATTTAGCAGAAACCCGGGTGGACCAAGGTCGCAAATTTTAGAGACTATTTGTGACTAGTAGTCAGTATTATTTAAGCGCCTTGAGACACTTATCATTCATCAAGAGGATCACGACTAAATACAACTGAAAAGCCCATTTTTAGTCAGTGCTCAGAACGGAAAAGGT